CTGCATGCAAGGTTCCCATTTTCCCTTCAAGTCAGGTTTTATCCGTCAGAACCGCACTCTTGCCAAATGCAGAAAAGCTTACTTGGCTTGGGAGGAAAAATTACAATCTCTGCGCTCTATTTTCACATCCCAAAGATACCTTTTAGTTTCATAAAGGTAATGAAAGTCAGCATTGATGTGTGTGTACAGCTGGCCATGGAGGAATAGAGACAGGCTGTCCTTGTGTATTTTCTTCCTTTTAATTTTTCCCCTATCTTCAAATGTCTTAGGATATCTTGGGACAGATTATGAATTTGCAGTGCAGTGTTTTCTCAATAGAAGGTTATGCAAATGCATTTTGTTCCAACCTGCAGTACATATTTCTGCAATAAATCCTCCCTATCCCTTCTAGCTTGCCTGGCAGGCTAGCTACAGTGCTATTACTTCTCCCAAACTGTTTGCTTCAAGCCAGAATGGTCTGAATTTACTAGAGATTGCTGGGTTTTCAGAGCTTCCTTTTTTCTTCTTCCCTAGTATCATGCCTGGAGTTCAGCTTCAGCCATCTGCTTTTCATCCAGGTGTTTTCACTGATACACAGATGGTCAGTGCCTGTTAGTCAGGCACTGGCAATATTTGCACTGGAAGTAAAACTGAAGTTTAGTTGGGGTATCATCTGTACATTGCCTGTATGAGACTGCAGCATCTCAACTGCATATGATGCTCTTTATAAAACATGGGAAGCATGATTAGCTTTGCTTGACTCCATAAGCAAGCTCTCAGGAGACAGAAGTAGCAGCTGCCAGTTGCTGGGAGCATCTAGGAAGAGGATGGAGGTGGACCCACTTCACAACTTTCCCGTGAACCTGTGACAGTATTTTTAGAGAAGACAGCACCATGCCCTCTTCAGAGAAGGAAATGCTGCAGCAAGATCTGGACAGATGAACACAGGTGTTTTCCATTAAAACTATTGCCAGTTTTGCCCTGTGATGAGGTCAGAGCTCCAACTGCAGGAGGATTAAGGCAGTAGCGGCATTGGGAATTGGACAGATTTCTTCAGTACCTTGCCCGAAAATGGAAGATCTTAGGCTGGCTGGTAGTCTTCAAGGTCCGCAGGGTCTGGAAATGGTTTCTTGCATTGGCCCACGGCACCAACTTGTCTTGCGATGCCACTGCCATAAAGTAAGCCCCACACTCTTCTCGAGTGCCTCTCCAATCCCTTTCTCCTCTGCCTAATCTCCTGTTCTGCTTTCTGCTCCCGGCCCGATCTGCCACCATGTTCCCTGCTCCCTCCCCATCCTGCCATGAGCCACACACAGAAGCTGCCTATGCCACAAGCGGCCACAGATTGACCGCTAATCTCTCTGTTGTGACTGCAGCGTTGTACTTTCTCTCTCATTAAAACAGGCTTCAACCTGCTACTGTTGCTCCCGTTTCCTCCTCCTCCATCTATCAGAGATTCCTGGTGATACGCAGTACAGGAGACAGTGGCCACTGTCTAGTCTTTGCACCCCCAAAGTTTTCTCACCCTGTTCCCAGGATCAACTAAGGTTTTCTGCATCATACTACAAAGGAATAAAAAGACCTGGCAAAGGAAAAATCTAAAATCAGATGGTGGACCCCTCATACCGCACCTGAGTGACTGCAGAAAGCAGGGCCCTGGACTTGATAATGGCCCAGGAGATCCCTTTATCAAGTGTATGTTTTCAGAGCATCTCTGGGGGAAAACTAAAACCATTATAAGCTGCAAGGGGCCTCCAAATGTATACAGCTTACTTTATTTTCATAGTTAATTTGGACCTGACAATCATCCTGAAGCCTTCCTACAAAGTTTCTTGGGATGCTCTCTCAAATGTCTAAGACTTAAAACGCTACTACACAAAAAGGAAATGGAGTCACTGACCTGAATTTTTTCTTTGTCCTATTCAGTCTGAAGATGGCTGGATCTGAATGACAAAGAGCTAACAGAACAGCAGACACATCGGAGGGACAGTAAGAATTCAGGATATCTGACACCAAAACCAATCCATAAAGCATTCTGATAATAGAGAATAGGATGAGGACCAAAATCCCCAATTTGTTTCAAATGAACTCCGGTGCAGCATGCTGCATTGCCAGATAGGTACATAATAAGAGTGTATATACACTAGGCAACAAGCTACCCTTTGCTTTGAACTGGGAGAGTGCCTTTCACCTGAGGATCACGTGCACTTTACTCTCCAGTTCTTGTGTGGATAAAAATGAAGTTCCTGGGAAATGACAACTTCATGACAAGGGCTTCAGTGGAGGAAGAAAAAGAAGTGACACAAGAAAGGCAGAGAAGAACCTTTCTAAAACAGAAAATTTTGACAAGCTGTCCTTCAATTTGTGACAGCACTTGCAAACTGAACGGAGTAGAGTAAAAATATGCTAATGCCAAGCTACCTCTCCATCCAATCTGGGACTTAGAGATGTCCCCATGCCTAAAGGGGGACACGCTAGTGACATTTTCCTTTTAAACTACCATTAAATATTTCGACTTCGCTCCAGGCAAAAAACATGGCATTTTTCAGCCTATATTCAGTATAAGCCTTAATTAACATTTAACCAAGAAATCAACAGGAAACTTGAAGCTGAACTTTAGCTCTCCTCCTTGTCTAGATGGTGAGAGGGGGAAAAAATGGCCATTAGTGCTAAATCCTAGCAGCTTCAGAAGACCAGGTAAATTCTCAAAGACTGCAATGATATAGCCAAGTAGTGTTAATGTGTTTGAAAAGCTTAAATGACATTATGAATATTAATTCACTAGTAACGAGAGAGAATATTGAGCGTATGACAGAAGAGGAATGAGAAAAAAGTTATCTGATCTAACAGCCGGCTGCATTATAATTAGAAAGGACATCCTCGCATCTAGCAATTCTACATTATTTACATTACTTTAGAGTAAAATAAAACCGAATGTGGATTCTTGAAGATAGGCAGGGACATAAGCACTTATACAGAACTTTAGATCTTCAAAGGACTGTAAAAATTAATCCTCCAAATACCCTTGAGGGAACTACGTGTTATCCCCACATTACGAATAGGAACTTGGGCAGACAAAGGAAATTAGCTGCTCTAGGACCCACGGCAGGTGAGCGCCGGAGCCAAGATCAGAACACAGGACCGACTCTCAAATGTCTTCGTTCCTACAGTGCCTTCTATTCTCCCACACCAGGTCCCTCGCAACTCTGCCACCACCGCAACATTTATACTTTGCACTCCTATAGCACCTCCCTCCGAGCCCACCCCCCTCATCTGCTTTTTAAGCGTTAATAAGTTCAGCCCTAATGTGTCTAAGAGATAAAGTGCAACTCATCTTATTTTGTGGATGAGGAAACAGAAGCAGAGTGAGGTTGCACAAAGGTGCGTAGGACATCGATAGAAAGATCAGGAATGCAACCCAAAAAACCCCTGCATTTCAGATGGAGATCCATGCTTCATAGCTATAGTTATACTGCAGCATATAAGCAACAAGACATGGTAACATTTTGCAGCGTCAGGTCTTAGGTCGACCCCCCCAGTATTCTACTTTTAGATCAAAATACGGCTTAGTGGAACTGCATATTTGCAATAAAAGCAGCAACAGCAGAGACCTGACTTTAAGGAGCTATTCATACAGGGTGGCTTGGATAGGGATGATCCTGCCTCAGCCAGGGGTTGGACTAGATCAGCGGTTCTCAATCTTTTGCACCTTGCATCCCACCAGCCATTTTGTCAAAAAAAACTCTGGCTCCACCACGATAAAAACAAAACCCCACTTTTCCCAAGAAGTGCATTTTTACGTTTACGTGCATTTTAGTATTATATTAATCATTAATGGAAATTTTTAAGGATGTTAAAAGACCCACCTACATGACCTTTGCCTACACGACCATCACGTCCCACTGGTTGAGAAACACTAGACTAGATAACCTCCAGAGGTCCCTTCCAGGCTGACTTCTCTATGATTCATTCACTGAGTGTGTGTGGGTGTGAGCATGTGAGAGAGATGATATCCTAAGCAGTCCTAATTCAGCTGCTAGAAGATTCCCAGCACCTGCCAGAATTGGCCAGGCATCCACATGTTAGCAGACAAGGCTGGCGTGCCTATGGGTGAGAGGGGAGGCTGGCATCTCTCAGGGAGGGATACGCAAAGTTGAGATATTCTGGCTGACTTGAGCAGTGTGCACTTCTCTGTGCATTTCCTGAGTCCCTTTTTTCTCTTGGTTACAATGCTCTTGAAACACCGTAGTCTTCAAACTACTGATACAGCCCTATAAGTCTACTCATTTCATTGTAAACAAGTTTCTTTGGGTAGATGTGATACCTACCCAAAGAACCTTGTCTGCCTATGTCCTTAGACCAACGTGGCTACAACCAGCAACCCCGATTAAATGAGTGGCAGTTTGAAGTGGGAACCAAGGCAGCTTCAGAAAAGACGCTGGGCTGTAACGGCAGCTTTCCTGTCTACACTGCTGTACACTTTTGAAGGTCTGTACTTAAGAGTTATGACAATGTAGTATTGTTGCCACAAATCTGGGTCATGAGTAAAACTTCAACATCAAGATGACAAGGTAGGAGACAAAAATGCCCGGGCCCCTCACCAGGTTTTAGGCACCCTCAGAAAACACTATTTCTAAGTTTTGACTTCTTCTTTGACTATGGAAAAGAAAATAGAGCAGTTTTTCTGTTGCAAGGAACCTGTAAACATCACACCAGGCCAGAATATTTTTAATACTCTGGATTCCTATTTGAAATCTTGTGCATCATGTTTGCACACCTAACAGCGTTGACATTGCTTAGCAGCTTGGGACACCCTGGGCAGGATTTCAGCGCACTGCGGCACCCTTGCTGAGAATCGCATTGCCAATCAAAGTATTTCTTATAAACTGTTGTGAACTGAAGTATTTATAGATTTTTAGACCTTATCTTTAACCAAAGGAGAATGCAGTATGTATACGCTTAAGTGCATGCAAGAAACAACAGCGCTCTTGGAAAACATCATTCATTTCTAGAATTATGACCTCTCTCCGTCGTGATGCCCAGCAACTCTGTTTAATCTTCCAAACCACAGCAGCCACGAGGAGCAAAGACAGGAAACAACTGCGGAGGAGAAAAAAAACAAAGACTTTACTGTCCTTATTCATCATGTATGATGATACATTTGAAAGCTCTAACAAAATAAATGCTAGACAATATCTTGCATAACCTTTTGAAGTCCCTCGATGAAGGATGCCACAGCAGAGAAAAGTGCTCCGCAAACATTAATTCTCGTGAGACCTAGTGAGTAGTATACCGATTTTACCAAGGAATAAACTGGAAACACAAAAAAGGAGCTTATGTCCCATGATATGGTTAAATGAGTCATCTGGGAATAAGCTGCTAGAACCCTACTGACAGCTTAAATTTTTTGATGGCAAAAATGAATCAGACTGAATATGCTGTAAAGCAACCTTTAACAAGTACTCAGAGGAGAAGCTACCTCAAAAGGAAAAAAAAAAATATTACTCAGCAATCTATCACAGCCAAAATTACTGCTTTTTCTTTTTGCTTTTCAGAGCCAACGTTTCGGCAAATTAAACGTTATGATTTTGGGGATTCGTTTTCAAACAAACACCGAGTATCCCAGCATTACAGGCAATGACATCTAAGGCCTCGCCCTGGCTGCAAAGCCAGCAGTGGTGTCTTTGAACATACAACGCAGCTCTGTGTGTGCTTCTTCCCAGACTGGACGATGTTTAGATGCACCCGTACAGCACTGTGGGCCAGCTAAATCAGTGCCAAGGACCCAACCCCTGGCACCGTACAGGCGCAGCTACATTGCTTCTAGTCCAGAAGGCAGCAGACACAAGGCTGCATGGCTTGTTATAGGGTATCGCTACTGGGCACAGTAAGCTAGCAGTCCAGACATGGCTTTACTTTTCCTTTTTTTTTTAGCTTCTAGTGAATTTAAGACCCAGCAGAATAACAATGGACAAGCTTTAACAGAGAGGAGGGAAGATATGAAAAATCATACGAAGCAAAAGTACAGCCAGGATGGAAGCTGACCTTGCTGACAGTGATGAGTGTAATACAAGCCAGAATACCTGATGCTCACTTTTTAAAGATGCAGCTCACACGGCCTTGAAACATAATGCAAAAAGACACTTTTATTTGCTTTTAAATTAACATTTTACTTGAGGCTAAATTCTGGCACTGAGCCACATTGGTGGCATAAGCAGCTACATGCGAATGCTGCAACGGCAGTATTCACATGCCCCAACACTGGCAGTCAGCAGCCTCATGAATAGGGACCTACCTAAATCGGGATAAGACACAGCATTTTCTGCAGCCCACTCACGATGTGCAGAGCCACTTTCATGGGCATTTTGCAATGGGATGAGGGGGAGGCTGCTATCTTGACTGCTCCCCTTCATACTGCTCGGCCAGCCGGTGCCTCCCCCCTACCATCACAGTGGGCTATGAGACTGGGGAGCCAGCATTTTATTTTTAGAAATTTTTTTTTCCAGGTAAATTCCTCAGGAAATTGCAGCAAACGCCATTTTTTGCAGAGATTGTGGAAACTGCTGCTTTTTGCACTTTCTGCCAAAATTGCAAAAGTGCGATTTAAGTAGGTCCCTGCGCATGAACAACCAGCTCAGGAAGACTGTTTTTCATAGGTCTGTTCAGCTGTCCTGCTACATTCCCCTTCACTCTAATGGCTGCTCATGCCCTTGGCACCTTGCTGCGTCCATATTTCCGTCTACACGTCTTCCTGTTCAAATAACCTCTCTTCTCAGGCACCCCAGAGCATGCTGCATGAACCTTGACAGATCTCCCCCTTAGGATCCGCACGGGGCATTCAAGGGCACACCAGCAAGTATCAAATACTGCATTTTCTTGCGCACAACCTGCGCTCTACCTTTCAGCTGCTGGAAATCTGAGTGCACGTTACATGCGAGAAATGCGGTAAGAGCAGTTTCTGCCAGCAAAGGTGAAATCTGCATGCGGCTGAGCAGAATGAGCAGGCTCTGTCCCCCAGCAGCTCTCAGTTACTCATAGGCAAGGAAAGACCTTTCTTCCTTCACGCTGGTTTTCAATAACAAGGTATGCATTATACCCAGTGGCATATCGTATGTGAGAAAATACGGTATCTCATTTCAGTGCATTGCTTTTGCCAACCTGTGTCTTCTCTGTAGTTTGGCCACAGCTTTGATGCAGGACCCAGGAGGTCTTTGAATTTTGAAGTGCTGAGAACATGCTGTCAGCATTTGTGCGTGAGAAGCTCAAACCAGGAGCAGAGGTTGCCACTTCCAAGACACGTATGCATGTATTTCAGACCATGCCTCTCAAAGACACAGGCCCGGCCCGTGGCTGCCCCGCGACGTACCGGACATGGCAACCCTGGGGCACAGCCACATTCGGGAAGTTCTGGAGGGAGACTGAAGCAGGGGGAAACAACCACATTATCCTTCCTCCTGTCTAATACACGGAATTATGGCCTGTGTTACATGGGGAGTCAGGCCTGAAGATCACATTGGTCTCTTTGGGGTCACCGATAAACTTGCCACAAGGTTCCCTCGGGCAGCTAAATTTAGCACACGGCATAGACATGTTAGCTGATAAAAACACATGGTTTTTGTTCTTTGCATCTCCCAGGATGGTGGCCAGGAAAGGCTGAGGGTCTCTGCAACTCATGGGTGCTTTGAGAGAATCGCACAGCCTTCTTCCAAGAGAAAAATACCCAACTATATCCTGGCCTACTTCCTCTCTTTGCATTTCTTTCCCTCTCCCATGTCTCCCAAAGACAAGCGCCTTCTCCACTCTACTCCTTCGGCCTCACTGACCCGACCCCATCTTTCCACTTCCTTGCTCCCTGCATCTCATCCATACCCCAATTCTTCTCCTTGACCTCTCACTCTTCCCTGGCAATTTTTCATCACAACAGAAGTGAGCTTTAGCCCCTCTAAAAAGCACACCCTTGGCCCCGCTTGACTTACCAATCATAGATAGCCCCATCTCCTCTCTTCTCCATGTCTAAACTCATTGAACATGCTTTTGCTTTCTACAGTGCTCCTCCAATCAAGGTTGCCATCTGTCCACAATTTTACAGTCAGTAAATATTTGGGTTAGAAATACCCCTCCATAAAAACTCTAAGCAGCTGGAGAGGATTGAAGACCCCTGGTCGGAAAGAAGCTGGAGGCAGTGCTGAAGGACAGACAGAGAGCACAGCAGCGTCACGTGGTGTCCGAGGAGCGCCACACCTTTCAGGAAGCTTTCTTTCGGGGCCTTGTACACTCCTCCCCACTAGCCACGAGCTGTTGTTGCTGCTGCTCTCCCATCAACTGCCTATTATTCCGCTAGACTGGAAAGCTGGCTTTTTTTTCTGGTCCATGCTGGGATGGGGAAGCAAGGTTGTTGGGGTAGGAGAGTAAGGGTGGGGAGCATGGTACAGCATGCAGTCAGGGTGCAGGGATAAGTCAAAAACCCCTGGGGGACTTTCTGTTCTCTCTCATGCTGCCTCTCACCGTCTAGGGGAACACCCTGTAAACACTTGCACAACCCCTCCTTTAAAATGACATTTACAATTAAGAAAAAAAAAATCTTGATAACAGCTAAGCTCCTCAAACGCGGCTTGTCCCATGACTTACGTTATCCCAGTTTCCCTCTTCTCCCCGAGACGTCTAAATCCATCCGCGCGGTCCATTTGTTGTCTCTAGTCCAATGCTTATATTGTGGGCTTTCGGGGAAGGGCACCGTCCTTGATACAGTATTTAGTACATTGAGGTTCTGGTCCATGATTGGCCCCAGATGCAATAATAGTACAAATACATAAACGGGACTAAGCATTAATGAACGGGCAGGCACAAGGAATATATCCTGGGATGAAGGAAGCAAGGCAGGGGATGTTCTTGAGTGAAAAAGGATGGGGTAAGAAAGAAAAAAGATGGGGTAAGAGGTCCCGCATACTTCCAGTGACTGCTGCCCCCAAAATATTTGTCATTAACTCACAACCTAAAAGTGACAACCATTGCAGGGGATGGGGAGCAGAGCAATGAAAGCTGAAGAACTGAACACGCTGTACGGTATGCAGGTAAGTAGTAATGATTTTTCAGATCTAACTCTAGGATAATGTCTCTATCATGATCCTATTAAGTCAAAAGGATAGCAGCATACATAAGTACCAAAGGGCCACTCAACCTTCATCGATTTCCAGACAAGAAGAAGAAATTAATTTGATAAGTTAACAGAGAAATATGGGCATTTATAAATGTGCTCTGGGAGGCAGGGGGTGCTTTAATTAGAGCAGCTCCAAGAGCCACTTTAATTAAAGCACTTGGAGTGTCACGTGTATTAGCGTCCCTGCGCTGAAAAGTGCCCCCGCTGCCATTTTTCAGTACAGGGACTCTGATATACGTGACGCTGGAGTGCGGACATTACCATGCTCCAGCAGACTCGATGCATGCGTATAGGCGCCCTATGTGATCTGGCAGGCAGAAATAAGCATCTTGTGTTAATCTTGGACAATACCTGCTTCCTAATACAAGTGGGCTTACAAAATACCCGTCACACTTATTCCCAAATGCTCAAAGTTGATGTTCATTCTTTTTGTCCATTGTAAAATCGTCATAATGATCTGAAGTTGGGTTTTTTTGTTGTTGTAAGAGCCTTCCTTTTTATTGTTTGATATCTTGCCTGTTCAGAAGCAACATGCCTTTGGCCTTCACCCAATCAGACATTTAGATTTAGCTGTGAATCGTCATCAGGACAAAAGAATGCATCCAAACACAGCCACTGATCCAGGATTTTATAACGCAAGTCTTCCCTTTCTTTCCAACAAGAAAGGACTGCTGTATTTAGTGGCATGTACGAACAGACGGTCTGTGTTACCTGTACTTCTCCTCCCCTAGACAAGATCAGGCTTTGTCCAGATGGATGTTCACTTCTACCACGTAGCGGCTGTGGACAGGCAGAAGCGAATGATGGAACAGTGACATTTTTAAGTGCCAATTATTGTCCTAAGGCTCCCGTTATCTTTGCCAGCATGAATGTCAAAACATTTACTGAAGGGCATGGTAGGCAGTCTCCTCTCCTCTTTCTCGGGGAAACCCGAACGCTCACT